AGCTTTAGATTGTATATAGATAATATAAAATAGAGTTAAAAAAGACTGCTCCTTATGAGTTTAGCTTCTTATGAGTTTGGCTCTCTAGTAGAAGTCTATGAAGCTATCAAAAAAGTAGCTTTGGCAACAACCAAAGAAGTCTTTGTCAAGTCATATTTAAGCAATAGCAAGAATATAGATTTAGTAGATATACTATTCTATATAACATATACTCTTACAAATCTTTACTATTAGTACTTTTACATTTATAGTCTCTCTCTTTGTTATTTGGTTTTTGGAGTTATTTTTTATAAAAAGTGGCAATGCAGCTCATATATTCAAAATGATTAGTAATATTTATATTTCTCAAATTAGGAATATATCTACTAAATTGAAGAATATATTATATGAGCTTTTTGTGCAAATCGACAATGATGAATTAGTAATATAAACAAACACATATACAAATTTTATAGTATTTGTTTAATGTTTTATCCTTTATACTACTAGTAGATTTCTTCATATTACTAGGTTATATTATAGTATATTATAGATTTAGAGTAAAGACTTGGTCTATTTAGAGTACTATATAATTTTTTTTCTGTTACAATATCTTGTTATAACCTTTTTTCTTCCTTTTTGTTTGTATATATCAAAACTGTAATAGTCTTTTTTTCTTTACTTTTTTCATCTGTTTCTGTTTTCTTTTACTTTTGTCTCCTATATAGTTTTAGTAATTATACTCTTCTCTTTTTTGACTCTTTTCTCTTTTTTTTTGTTCTTTATTTTTTTTTTTTATATAATTATTTTTTCTTAATTCTGCTAGAATATAGGTAGAAAAAGTTTTTAAGAAAAAACTAAGTAGTCTTGATATAGGCTAGTAGCAGTTTCTCTAGGATTAGAAACAAGTAGGCTATTATATAGTCTAACATTTTTTATAAGAGAAATAGTTACTATAGCAGATCGTACTTAGATACCTTTAAGGTAGCTGAGTAAGTTCAGAGTGGTACTTAGGAGAGTAATTTAGTATAATTTTTTATAGTATTTTATTTTGTAGCTTTTTTAAGTTTTTTCTTAATAAAGTAATAGACAAAATTATCTAAGTTTAAAAAAATATATATATTTCAAATAATAGTAATAATACTTGTATTTATTTTTTATTTACTTTATATATAAACTAAAAAAGCTTTTTTATTGAATACTTTATTAGTTATTATATCAATAGTTCATATAATTGTTTATTGAAAAAAAGATCCTAAAAATAAATCAGCAACTAAAATTCAGCAGATAAAGTTAAAATAAGTTAGCATTACTAAATTTTGCTTCAAAATTAGGACTGTTAAAAGTCTAATTCTTTCAGTTAGATTTCATAAATAAGGACTTTGATTAGGACTTAGTTCTTAAGTTAAATTTATATATATAATAATCAAATAAATTTCGATATAAATTAGCCAATTATATAAATGCTTCCTGATCATAATTAGAACAAACAACATGTATTTGACCAATTATATAGGTCACAAATTAGAACAAAGATATGTATATAGAACTTTATACAAAACAGGTTTGAGTTAGTTCTAAGAAGTTAACTTAAAGACTAGGTCTCTACAAGCTTTTTAACAACCTTACTCAAAATTACTAAAAATTTTGTTAATAAATTCATAGTTTATTTACTAAGAAAGCTGTTTAGATAATAATTTTGCTATAGTATAATTATCTACTAATATTAATCTAATCCTAATGCTAAATCTAAAGAATTCTGGTCTGGAATTTTAGTCAATCTGCTAAATTACTCATTTATTGTAAGTATTAATGAATTTGCTATCAGTTATAATTCTAGTAAAATTTACAAATCATTTAGAATAATTTTGCTCAATATCTGATAAAATGATTAGCAAAATTTACCAGAATTATAACTAGGTTCCTCTATTGCTCTTCAAATTTTAAACATATTGATATGGGTGATCTTGTGATTAGTTTGTGATTACTAGATTAGTTAAGTTGAATAATGAGATTAAATTGAATTTGAGCCAATAATATATATGATATAAGGGGAGGTCAGCAAAATCCAGGCAAATTGTTTTTATTAAAAATTTCCTTGAACTTTAAACTTGAATATCTCAACAAAAACTTAGCCAATTTCGATAATTTAGTGTTCATTTTAATTCTAAAAGTTTGTAGAATTAAATTGAATACTAAATTATCGAAATTGGCCAAGTTTTTATTGAGATATTCAAGTTTAAAGTTCAAGAAAAATTTTAATAAAAACAATTTTCCTGGATTCTGTTAACTTCACCCTATATAGTATATTACTAAGATTAAAAGTAATTATTTGTCGGTGATTGTAAAATTGCTTATGAATCGCTTATGAGTTACTTATCAGTTACTTATCAGTTTTTATGAGTAGTGCTCTAAACAGATTAGCTAAAATAATCCAGAATGATCCAAAACTGATCCGTTACTTATCAGTTTTTATGAGCAGTGTACCCAACAGTCCCAACAGTTATATCACCTAATTTTATATAGTCACAGCACTCCACTAAAAATTTCCGCTCATATGATGAATATAGGGCTAGGTTATTTCCAAAAAATTTTACGTTACTGAAACATTTCCAGATGAAATACATACAAAACAATTTTTTTGGTGTTCATAACATAAAATCTTAAAAGGACAAAATTTATATATAAAAATTGTATAAAATTTTTTTAATTTTTTTTAAAAAAACCCACCCAGTTATTATAACATATAAAAAAAAAAAGGTTCAAAAGTTTGCAAATTTTGACGCTTTTTTTTTTTTTTTTTTTTTTTTTTTTTTTTTATACTTTACGTACGCGAAAAAAAAATTCGTACTATCTTCAATTAAAATAAAAAAAAATTTAACGAATATATACAATAGCGCGACGCCTATCCAAATTCGATGAAAGTTTTTTTATATTTTCAAGAATTAAAAATAAATTTTTTTTATCGATTTGGTGGTTGTCACACTATCTTTGTCCAAAATTTTTAAAAAAAATCGTGAGACCACATAATGGGATCGTTGAATTTTTATAGAAGTCGGCTAAAGCGAGGCGAATTTTAATATGATCTATAATTATCATTAGGATTAGGGCTAACTCACTTCGCCTTTTTTATGCCAGATCGCTTTTGTCAGCCAATCAGATCACCAGAAACAACGGATTTCATATAAATAGCTTAACTTCGGGCAAAAAAATACTGAAATATGCATAGGCATATTCCTTTTATAGATCGTAGCATCGTGTGTAGCGATGTACAAAATTTAAACCATGGAATCTCACCCCTAATTAATTAGTGAAACTAATTAAAGATAGGGTGGAACTTAAGTAGAGGCAGTTTAGAGATCTAGAAGTTTCGGAGGTTACGCCAGGTTCAGAGGTTTCGGGAATTCGCCTTTCGAATGTTAAAATGGGGTTTGCCAAAACTTCATCTACTCTAAGTGCAAAACTTAATATAAAGTATGTATTTTACTCTTCTAAATGTTATCCAATATTAAAAATACCTAAATATAATACAGGGAGGGTCAGTTATGTTTACAGTATTATAACAGATCATATTGCATTGTTATATCAATTAAGTGATAAATATAAATTGAATTTGTATGAATAATTAAAAGTAGATTTAGCCGGTTATAGCATGACCCAGATTATGACCGCATGGATCTCTAAAATTAAATGTTCCCGCTGTTACACGACAAGCGCTACGCTATTGTTGGAATTGAATTAAAAAAAAAATATTTAAAATTAGGATGTAGTACATATTTTATTTATTATTTATTGTTACCGTTATCTGTTATTGATGGTGTGATGAATTAGATTTGGTACAATTGTTTATCTTAACTGTTAAACAAAATGTAACCATAAACGTCAAAATTAAATATTAAGTGCCACAGGCATATCTGAATTATTAAAGAAATTCATGTTGGTCCCAATTAGAACGATAACTTATAAAGGAATTTAATACTTGATACGTACATAATTATGTTTAGTAACTTATTATATGCTCATTTTGCTATGATATGAAATTATTTCAAGTAATTCATTGCTTAACATTAATTGGAATAGAAATTGAAATCTGTAAGAAGATGATCGATTAATGCACGCAGAAGTGAAACTCGATTGATAGCTTTATATGGTTCAACTTTATACTTCTTTCAAGTCTTTGACAAATCAAAAAAAAGAAATCTTTGAAAGCTTAAACAGGTTAACTCACCTGAAGGAATTAATTTACCCCGGATTTTACTAACTGTCCACTTTTTTGAAATCTAAAGACTTCAAAAAGATGCATTTAATATGCGGTTTAAATTATCGGTTAATACAGTATTAATCATGTATCGTGGCTTTGGATGGTTATAAGATACACTTTTGTATTATGGTAAACAATTCTAGATCTGCTTATCTGTTATACATGATCGGAACAATATTTATTAATTTACTTTAATGACTAGATAATTAATTTATTGTTAACGTCGTTATTAAAAGAGGAACGCGAAATTGATTTGATTTCTCACTTTTGGCTTAAAATTCTTGTGATTTCCAAACACAACAGTAACGGTAATAACCGATTATCGCTATTTTTATCACTTGGGCGATACCTGTTTTAATTGATATTTCACATGTTGCAGAAAAGTACCCTTTTTGGATTGAGGCGAATATTTCGTGAAAGAGTTTGGATTTCTGAATTGGGACGTCGGATGTTTGTTTGTATTTGATAATTAATAACTTCAAAGCTTCCGAGGGTAATTAATTGAATCAAAATCTAAAAAAAAAAAAATGCTGTCAAATTGTCAATTGATCTTTTATTTGTTTTAAAACTATAAAGCGTGATCACGTGTATCTTCTTTGCACACCGGCGATGATAATATAAGATTCAGGGCTGAATCCCTGCAGAAACTGGTTTTTGCCAAAAGCAATTCAACTTGTCTTTTGTTTTTTCCCGTTTTGACTTGCAGAATGTAATACCATCATAGGTGTCCGGTTTTATTTCCGCATTTATCTAAATCATTATGGGAGATAGAAAAAAAACTTTATGGGAGAAAACTACAAAAAAAGTTGTTACACACTATAGTTTTCAAATTGATAATAATGGTAACGTAGGGTAAGTACGTACTATACATAACATATAATATACAAGTTTAAAAATGGTCGATCGTTTCACATTAAAACAGACTTGATTGAATCAAGTTTGTGCTATTTGTACAATAAATCTATTTTGAATGAACAGTGTAAGATCAATTTGGCTGTTTGTGAAATAGTTTTGGTCGGGATACCGAAATTTTTTCATAAGCAATTTTTTTTTTTTTTTATACAGTATCGCTGGTTAATGGCTTGACAACCAACCGGCTTTACAGTACCCGCACCTCTTCTAAATTTTAAACCTGAAAAAAAAAAAAAAAAAAAATTGTCCTTACTAGTCTTACTAGTCAGACACACCAGAAGAGGTGTCGAAGTTCAGAGAAACCCTTACTTTGGTACTTTGCATCACGCTTGTATATGATATTTAATTAAAGTAGAATAGACATATTAATTTAGTAAGATATTTCAATTTGACGTCATTTTAAACGATAACTTTGCATTTTTATTCAAAATTTTTACTGAGTCATTCATTTTTTTACTAATATAGATCTCGATATTTGTAAATAAATAGTGGAAAAAAAAAAAAGATATCATTGATATCATTGAATTCGTATACCGATTAAAGAGGCATTCAAAACTTTTATCCATGTTGATAGGATGAGGATAATACACTATTATAATAATCTTTTAATGATACTAGCATATTGCATTATAATATGCCAAACCTTTGTTTCAGTTTCCTCACAGAAACTGAGCGTGAATTTTCGAGGTGTTCCTCAGATATTAGTAGGTGGTCAATATAATGGATTATCGTTATATGATGGTGACTCAGGCGAGCAAGAGACTTATGACGCAATGACTGGATCTCTGATAACTCAGCCGCCAAACCATACTTTTCATCTTGCTGCCTCTACTTCGTATAATGGAACTATTAATGCATTATGTGTAATTCCTCGGTCCCAGAATAGCCTTTACGATATTGATGTATATGTTGGTGGTAACTTTACTTTTCTTGGTAATAAACCGCTAAATAATATTGCGCGTTATGATCCCACTACACAAACATTTTACGCGCTTACAGAAGGATTAGATAAGCCGGTTAATTCCTTGTACTGTGATGCTAATAATTCGTTGGTTTATGTTGGTGGTGATTTTGTCGCCCCAGTAAATGCTTCAGCACATGGATTAAATGTCACGAATTTTGGTGGTGGTGTGGCGATATGGCATACAGGAAATTCATCTTGGACACCTCTTCCTTTTAAGGGATTTAATGGTCCAGTGAATTCTATCACATATAATGAGCAAAATCATACTATTTATTTTGGTGGTCAATTTGATGCTACTGATGATGGTAATTTTGGTACTATTGCTAATAATACACAACCAATAGTCTTACAAAATACTTCAGTAAGCATTTCTGGTCATTATCTCATTCTTAAAAATTAATCTTTATTTCTAACCTTATTTTTTTACTTTTTTTTTTAAAAAAAAAGATATCTGCTGGAAATACGGGAACTCTCACGAATTTTACTAACCCATCAGTATTACTATGCAGCAATGAACCTGATGGTCCGGGGAACACTTGGTTATTGGAAAATAGCGAAGTGGGCGTATTACGATTAAAATTTGATTATAAATTAACGCCCACGGCAATTGGTTTTATGAATACTAACTATCAAGGAAGGGGAACAAAGACGTTTAGGTAAATATAAGTTTCGATAGCTACAAGAATCGTGCGTATGTAGAATGAACATTTATTTTGTGAGACTGATTATTCATGTGAATCGAAGATGTCTCTAATAGTATTTCATTCGGAATTTAATGTTTGCTTATGATCAATGCTAGGTTGATTTCCCTTCCAGATAATGCCATAATTGAACTTTCGTATACGAACACTACCACTGGGACAACGATGACTTGCTCGGATTCATGTCCTTTGGATCCTTCTAATAGTGTCTATCAAATATATAATTTCATTAATCCGACAGAAATGACGGGTATTCAGATATTAATTACGGATTTTTATGGTGATGGAGGTGGCCTCCATGGCATTCAGCTATATCAAAGTGGTACGAAAACTAAACATTTATTTTGATACATTTTACTCTTATTTTTCTAATATCTTTCTCGGATTATCTTAGATGTTGTCGCTCGTGGGGTTAGTATTTTTAACACTCCTACATGTTCAGATTCTTCAAACTCTTCGTTTTATCCGAACGCAACTACTGTTGGAAACTGGACCTCTGAATTACTTTCTGGGGTCTGGGATACTGTGTTAATGACTACGATTCCTGCTGGAGAGGTAACTAATAGCACTGCAAAGCTTACCTTGAAACCATATATCCCGCAATCCGGTTATTATAATGTTACTCTCAGTTCACCGTCATGCATTTCAGTTGGATGTGATAGTGTCATACCTATCGATGTTAACGTTACGGTCTCTCCGGGTGTATCAATCGTGGTAACCATAACACAAAATTCTTCAAGTTCTAGCACCATAACCTACACCCTCTACAGTGGTTATGTTCTTGCAACCTCGACGTTTTTTCAACCAACTGTTGAAATTACAGTGTCAAAGTCAGCTGTGGCACCAAGTGACGGTAGTGATGCTATTATATATGTCGATCATATTCAATTTACAAAAATTGATAATCATACCTCATTGAATGGATTCTTTCAATACTATCCATTAACAAATACGGTTCAAGCCTCGTATGGGCTTAATGGTACGTTGTGTCATTATCTATTCGTGCTCTATACATTCATAAAATTATTTACCATTCTTTTATAATCTCTAGGATCGTTGCCTCCAAAATCTATAATAAACGATGTAGTTGCGTTGTCATCATCAATGGTAGTGATTGGTGGTAGTTTTAATAATGGTTCATATTCCAATATTGTGTTATATGATGGCATAAGCTTCATTCCTCTTAGTAATATGGGTCTTAATGGTCGCGTTAACACTATGCTTCTAATTGATAAAGATTTATTTGTCGGTGGGTTATTTAGTAATTTAGGCAACGGGTCCTTATACGGATTGAATAATATTGCGAGATATAATCTTGATACAAAACAATGGTATCCAATTAGTGGTGGTGTCAATGATGAAGTCACTCGTATACGTTTAGCTTCGGTCAATAATGATGGAACTTCACGAATACATGTTGCCGGTAAATTTGATACCTTAATAAATCCGAGTCTTTCCTCCCAGAACAATATAATTGGTAATGTCACTTTTGGCTACGCCATGTGGGACAATAAATTAGAAAATTGGGTTAATACGGGTTATATAGATGGTACTATTGGTGATATTGTTTCATATAATATTCCGGGTTCTCAAACCGGACCTTTGACTTTCTGGGGTGGTAGAATGAATTCTACGCAATCTACTATGTCGTCTAGTGGAGGCCTACTTACTCAATCTGGATATAATCCGCTTCCCTTGTTTCCACAAGCGACGAATGGCATTCTACCAGATTTTATAATTAACAGTATAGTACAAGCTAATGATACTAAAAGTAATAAAACTTTTACTGTAATTGGTGGAAAATTCAAAATCGGTAACATCACTAACGTAGCTATATTGGACAATAATGTATGGAGGGGTATGTCACCATCCAATTTTCAAGGAGAGGTCAAAGTTGTCGTTCTCATTAATAATGTTCTGTATGCTGGAAGTGAACTTAATGGTATTGATGGTAGCGCTTTCGCTGTTTACAATTTGAACAGTGATATAACTTATCCACAAACATTGACGGGTAATTTTATATGATTTTATTATATATATTTTTTTTAAATTATGCATATATGTATGTAAATATGACCAATTTATTTTTTGTTTCGTGTTTATAGCAAATGATAAAGTCGTCAGAGTCAATACTATAAAATATCGGACTGGTACAGACGATTACATTGTTGCTGGCAAATTTGATAAAGCTGGTCAATCAAGTTGTTCAAATATTTGTTCTTTTAATTCTATTTCTGGACAATGGAAAGAGTTAAATTCTGCCCTTTCTGGAGAAATTTTATCGATGGATTTCGTAGGAGTAGTAAGTAAATCATAATAAATGATTGATCACTGCATGTATAATTTTATTTATCATATTTATATTTTCTTATTTAGATAAGTCCAAGTCGAAATTATCTCGTCGTCGTCGGAAATCTGATGCTTGGTGGAAAAGGATTGATTTATGTTGCTGAATATGATTTTAATCGAAACGTATGGCAAGAACAAGGCACACAGGGAAGTGGAGATACACAACTTCCTGGAACTCCAACCGTAATCATCAATTATTTTCTTGCGAGTAATCAACAATATTTTGTTTCGGGATCCGATAACAATACTGGTGAAGCTTATATACGAAAATGGGATGGCTCCAAATATCAAAACATCAATCCACAGCTTTTAAAAGGTTCTGTAATAAGAAAAATGACATTGGTTCCTGCAAGTAACTCTCACTCGAACAATGGTATTTTGGATCCTGCCTGGTTACTTCTAATCAGCGGGTCTCTCATATTAAAAGATTATGGTAATGTTAGTGCTGCCTTGTTCGATGGTAATACTATCTATCCTTTCTTATTGTCGTCAAACCGTGGAAAATCTGGCAATATTATGTCAATCTTTACATCGATCATTCCTGAATTTTTGGCTTTACAAAGTATGTTTGATTTTTTTAATAAAAAAGTCAACTGAGTAAAAGTATTATTCTAAATTCACTATTTTTTTTTACCTTTATTATACAGAATTCTTACCAGTTCCGTTAGTCATATTGATTTCTGCAGCAATAGCATTTTTCATTGTATTTTTAATTGTTGCAGCTGGTTTGGCTTACGATCTCAAGAGACAACGAGCAGCCAAAGGTAGCTTAAAAGCTAGTCCAAGAAATTCAGGAAAGGCAGCAATGCGAGATGGCGAATTACGTGATACCATAAATTCATTAATAGCACAGCGAAGTGATCCTCGACACTCAGTAACATCTAGTAATGTAAGAAGTTCTGCAGCATTTTCTGATGAAAAAGCGAATGATTTTATGTCGAGTATTATGGGAGGAGCAGGTGTTGCAGTATCTGAGTCGGGGCAAAAATCTGCAATGCATAGTAATATTTCTAGCGAGTATTCTGCAACAGATAGAGCCAGGGCAGCTCAAGCTTTCTTAATTAATCATCCAGAAGCACGACAATACTATGCAAGATATCCATTTATTGCAAAAGAAGAAGGAGAATTAGATTTCGGCGTTGGGGATTCGATATATGTAGTGGATACTAGTGATGAAGTGTGGTGGCTAGGATGGAAAGATGATGGTATGTTAACTCTTTTTATTGAGTTCCTCCTTAATTTGGTATAACTAATATTGTTACTTTGTATAGGAACTGGCAATTTTATACAAGGTCTATTCCCAAGTAATTATGTGGTAGAGGATCCGAATTATGCTGCTTCCGGATCATGATAATTTATATAACTTATGAATCAAATGATTATGATTCATAAATTATTATATTTATCGTTTGCTGTAAATATTTATTATAATTATTTTATGGTCACCAAAACACTTATATACAATATTACCCTTATTTAATTATAGTTTTTTTTTTTTTTTTTTGGATGATATTTAGAAATCAAATTTGTAACAGTATTGACATTTTTATTGTGGCCATAAGAACAAATGTCCTATTATTTCTTTTACACATCTACTATGCATAACTTATATATTCTTTAAATTGTTATTTATTTAAATTATAAACATTTTTTGTGATTTAACCTGTGGTTTTTTTTACATAGATATTTGTGTTAAGATTAGGGCTTAAAAAAAAAATAGAATTAAAATTTTGTCTATAAATCACATGACCGATGGTCGGTTATAAATAAAATTATTTTATTCAAAAATATATAATAACATTTATACGTAAATATATCGCATATCACATTGTATAAGAACAACTATTGTTCACAATTATGATTGTTCTCTGTTATGTTACACATTAACTTGGAAATACGTAAAATAAAAAATATATTATGCGATAGAATAAATTTAGAAGCTCTCATATTTTTTTATTTTACTTCCAAGTTAATGCACGCGCATAGGTTAATATAATACATTATAATTAGGGATGTTAAAAGTTCGGTTCGGTTCGACTCGACACCATGAGTCGAGTCTTAATTTAGACTCGGTTCCGAGTCAGACTTGGAACCGAGTTCTAATAGTCACATGCAATATTAGATATCATGAGGACTATAAAGATAAAGGTAATAATAACAGATAGCTTTATTTAAAAAATACAAATTATTTCTATAATAAAATTTTTGTCTATTCTAAAATTTCCGCTTCTAACTAATTTTTTAAAAACAACTAAGCTTTGACTGTTTGGTTTAGTAGGCAGTTTCTTGTAGGCTTAATAATTTCTTTTGCTACAAACAATATATTCTTAGAAGGAATGCTAGTAGTTTATAGAGAAAAAAAGTTTGCTGTCATAAGTGCTAAGATTGAGTACTGGTAAATATTATTTTTTCATCACATAAGTATAAAGCAAGATATATGTCTAACTTATTTACTAGCTTATTTTTATCTTTTTTACAAGTCAATATTTGATAAAAAAATTTTAGAAGATTTTTAATTTGAGGTATTATATCTAGCTAGTTTAGTTTATATTGTGAAGAGGTTATATGTATTTTAGCAGTAGCTAATTTTTAATCACTTTCATCATCAAAAGTATTAAACTTTGTTAACAGATCAAGTAAAACAAGTATAGTTAAAGATTTTATAAAGTAGTAAAATTGCTTTTTTAGTATATCTCTTATTTCTTCTACTATTGTATTATAAAGGTAATTATTAAGATGTAATAAAAGGTCATAAATAATTGTTTGTATACCTTCATGAGAAGGTTATAAATTTTGTAATATGACTGAAATTGCTATGTAAAAAGACTTAAAGATTTTTAATATTTCTTTAATTATTTTCTAATTAATAAAGTTGAAATAAATTTTTTTGATATCTGAATAAGAATAAGCTAGTTTATTAGTAATTATACAAACTTAAATAAACTATTCAAGTATTAAATAAGTAAAATATTATCTTTTTTATTAATTTCAAGATAAGTTAATAAATAATTTAATATAATAGAAATTTTTTTTAATTCTGTCATAAGTAAAGGTAATAATATTAATTTGTTATACAAATTATAGGCTTTATTAATTTGGTCATAGTAATTTTTTTGAAACTCTTTAGCTATTTGATTAATAATATATATATATATTTTTTTTTTTTTTTTTTTTTTTACAAGTGACCTCTTTGGCCGTATATTTTTATTAAATTTATTATAATTAATTACAAGTAATGATTACAATGTATTTAACTAAATATGCAACCTTAGGACTAATTTATCTTTGAGATATACTTGACTAAAACTTTATAACCTGTATTTATATTATTCTAGGTTTTGTTATACTATGACTTATCCGTTTAAGGTTCTTACTGCATTCTCCGCATCTCCTATACTTGCACAAAGCTACTTTCTAATAGGTAGTCATCTATTACAGATATTTCAGTATCATGATCCTCACGATCACTTTCTAATTGGGTATTCTGGCTTAAGAGTGTCTGTTATCAATATTTACACAATGCTGAGATATGAAAGCACTTATATTACATCAAGTTGTATTCACATGCTGTATTCATATACCTTTTTGAGAACTCCTGTATGTTGGTAAGTACAGGCTATGTTTTATAATCTGAAGATTACTCCCAACTAGGTTTGTAATACATAGTACTACTTCTAGCTTTCTTCAGAAGAGGTTGGTGTTTAATGTTAATACACCTTTATGTACTTTGTCATATTGCTACTACCAGCCTGGTACTTCCAGCCATTTCAGATTATTACATATCCTCAGTATATGAACTACCTACTCTGTAGCAAGAACCTACCCTTTGAAGTTTTTGTGTTTACCAGAGGTGTTCCGTATTCGGTAAGGCCAATATCTTATTACTTAATCATTTTTTGTGTAATCCCCACTTTTCTTACTACTCAGTTAGTTATCATGTAAACCTCCTAAGCAATTCTATTACACCATGTAACGATATTGGTTCTTGCCATACTCTTACTAATATGGACTTACTTTTTTGTACTACCATGTAACCAACTTCTGTAACACTGACTGTCATACATAGTGCTACCTCTCCACAAGATAGAGCTGCTTCCAATAATTCCTATTCTGAACGTTATACTTTACTTGGACTTCTCACAGGGCTTTGCATTCGACCATTGACTCCTTAAATAAGGTTACAGAGTATTTTTTGCCTCCAGTCGGTCTTGAACTGTTAACTTTGTCCATGAAGGGTTAGTAGCTTAACTACTAAGCTACGGGTATTAGACCCTTTGATTAATAATATATAACAGATAATAAACAAATATAAAGAAGGAACTTATAGTTTTTTGAGGATAATTATAATAATTTTAGTTATTTAATATATTATTTCTAGTAAAACTAATTATTTTATATTTAATTTCTAAGTTCTCTATGAGTTTGAAAATCTTTTTCTAATATAATCATCAATATAAGTATCAGATAAAATAATAATATTAAGAAAAATAGTATATATTATCTACTCATTATTTAACTAATAAATAGTAACCCTAAGAAAGGACTGTTAGGAAGGTGTAATCGATATGTTTATGATAAGAAATAGTTAGTTTTTATTATTTTTTAAAAAATCTTTTAAAATTATTTTTGCTAATTCAAATAGTTTTTTAATATTTTCAAAAAGAGTTTAAGAACAGAGAATTTTATAGTGCAAATTAAGAGTAGAAATTAAGTTACTTAAAGAATTGTCTTTTATAGTTAATAAAAGTTGATTACTAATTATAATCTATTTTTTTTTTTTTTCCTTTGACAGTCACGTCATAAACTTTATTAAGTTGTTAACCATAGCCTTAGCCAAGTTACA